CCTGCTGAATAGACCCAAAGACTGAGAATGTTTCCCTCCTTGGCTTGCAAGGAGTGTAATAATTTTGCTGGACGTGTCTGCATTATAAGGAAGAATGTTTCCACTTAATTCTTAGTCAGGATAAAATAATATTAGAAATGCACAAGATTCACACATATATCTTGTTTTACAGACAGATTCCACACAAAAGTGTTTGTGAGGAAAATGAGTATCTGTACGTAGATACGACATGAGGAACAAAAGTTCTGGCATCTCTAATATGTAAGGTTATTAATCTTTTACCTGTTCATTGTAGTCCTGCTAACACTAACTTTCTTGTTATTACTGACTAGGTAACAAAGAGAATTAATTACAGTAGCTGCCATTACACGTCTAAGATTCACAAACAGGTAATGTATTATAATCATAATTATAATTATAATGCATTATAATATGCCAGAGATACTGAAATACTCTCTGTACTTAGAATAAGAAATATATGCAGTATACTAGATGATTCAATGCTGTTGGCAAATGCTGACTTTTAATCTTGGTTTGTCTACATGGTTGAAAACAAATGTATTATTATAACATACATATAGTGATCTATAGATAATGAATCTGAGTATTAAAATATTGATTTTCTGTGTATGTTGCACAGGATGCAATACAACAATATACAAATGTCACTTCTGATGTCATGCTTATTCAATACTAATTTAAAAAAGGAAATTCACTGACAAAAAGGAAAAGTTATTTCTGAGGCTACACTATACTTCAGTCATTAGATGATTCCCATTTCCATTAAAATCTCTTGAACATTGATAAAAGCAACATAAATAATCTGTCATGTTTATTTACAATCATTCACAGAAAATGATAGTTGCATTTTTATATTCAAATACATTAACTTTTGGTTGATTTAATGCCTTCTACTACTCTCTGTTGGTAGTCTGAACATGGTCATACAAGACAACCTATTAGAAATATCTCACTCTTTTTTTCAATAGAATCTAATTCAGAAAAACTTATCAGCGGATTTTTTTTCAAAAATCTGAAAGAAAAGCAGTAATATATGAGCCACAGCTCATAACAAAAGAAAGGAATTTCAACCTTACACAACAGTATGCTACCTAATTTAGGATTATTTCCCAGTTTTGTCCTTGCCAAAGAAACTCCCCAAAACTCAAGCAATGACAGCAACACCAAACCTTTAATTTGGATTTTGGATAGCAGTTCACCAGTGTTGTCACAGAGCAAAAAGCCTTAAACAGTTGTTCTTCATGTAGAGAGCTTCCTTCAGCTTTTTCTATCATAACAGCGGTAGGAGCTATAGAAGTTTCTATTACCTTCTTACAAATTTTATAAGCATACTCACAGCAGGTAGTGCAAAGAAAGAAATGCCAAGTAGAGCAAATCCTGCAGAAAGCAACCTTCCAAGCCAAGTAAGAGGAGTTTTGTCTCCATAGCCAATGGTTGTCAATGTGATCTAAACAGAAATGAATGAACATTGTGGTTTACCAGAAGTCACCGAGAGATTAGTTGCAGATTATTTACGTGGCATGAAACAGCATTTCCACTAAATAATCCAAGACACATGAAATATATATAGTTGTTTCTAAAAGAAAAACATACATAAGTAAATTAACATGAATACATTTTTCTATGAAAACTTAATACTGTTTATGACTGAACGAAACGGAGATAAATAATAAATGTGAGAAAAATATCTAAATAAGCAATAAATAAGTTTTAAAAATAATAAAACAGAAGGTCTGGGATCTCAAAGTTGAGGCAAATGATGGGAAATTATATAAGTCGGGCAGAAAAAAGTGTGCTTTTCCATGGATGTGAAGGTGTTTCACCTATTTTCAGCAGGGAAATATAGCTGTATCTATTTGCATAACTACATAAATATAAATTACACAGAGATCATATTGGAAAAATATAGTAGGACTAAAAGGAAGTTGAAGTTCACGGATGAGATAAAGTCAAAGGATCATCTTCTGAAACACAAAAAACACTAATCAAAAGCTGTAAGAAACTTTAAGAAGTTCCTGGTCCTTTCCCCTTCCTTGTAACAGGCCCAGATATACCTACATCACTCCTGACATGAAGCTCCAAAGACACAGCAGCAGGTGCAGAGGTACCCCAGGCTGTTGGGCAATGTTAGCTCAGACCTACATGGGCAGAGGTCAAAGAGAAAGAAGGGGGCATCTGCAATCCCTTCATGTGGTGAGTGCAATCAGAGGCTCAGCATACAGATGTTTCAAAAGCTGTTCTGTGGAGGCCAGCACCCCTGCCATGTAGCACCAGTGCAGATGACGGCAGAGTTTGATACATGTAGGAGGGCTCTCCACATGCAACTCATTGACTGCAGGCCATGCAGAAATGCACCGCATATGCAAATGCCGCTGGGATAATGGTGCGTGGCTGTGGTTTACTGAGCATATCTCCAAGGCAAAAGATTATGGCTTCATGTCTGTGTGTGGCTGAGGGTCTTCCCCAACCCAAGGAAATGTCCTCCACGCTACTTCTGGCTTGGGAAGTGTGCCAGTCCCAAACCTGGGGACTGGACTGGCAGGAAAAAGTCACGTCTCTGCAATTCCCTCTTGGGGAGTCTGGACCCACCCCGCTGCCTGGTGCGGGCAGGAGGAGGAGGTGTGGGCAAAGCGGAGGATTTCCAAAGGCCGGGTGGGAGGTTGCGGTGCGCGTGCTCAGGCAACGGCACACGATGTTAAAGGACAAAGATAGACAACAGTAGGCTGAATGCCAAGGACTCCAGGGCCTGTTATTAGCGGAGAACATGTGCATGGAGAATTATTTTACATCGTGTACCAAATGTGGGCAAGTTCAGGCTTAGCAAATATTCTGGCAGGAACGAATTCTTCAGGAAAATGCCTTCTAGAGACATTATTTTGCTTCCAGCTTCCTCAAAGTTCATTCCTAGGCAAGACGGCCAAAGCAATTCTATTTAATGCCGGGGTCACCACAGGACAAAAGAAGGAAAGTCTTTTGGAAGTAATTAGATTTCAACTATTTAGGGCTCTGTAGATAGTAAACAGTGCTTTTAATTGCTCCCATTGTTAGGAACAAGCTGTGGGTGTAATTTACCCTGAGAAAGCCATAGTGCCTAAAAGAGAGTGAGCTGAATTAAGGCTGCAGCTGAAATTTCAAGTGGTTATCAAGTCTCAAGTTTTGTAATGTGAGCCTGGTTGCAGGCACACCACCTTGCATGCTTCTCAGGTCTCACTGTCCTTCCTTGCTCCTCTTCACTTCCCTGCCCCATCCCCTCTTCACAGCTTTTGCTGGACTGTTTGGAGAGCCAGTGCAACATAGGAAGGTGGAAAGAATTATCCACATTTCTGCATGATTTGTTTCTGCTGTTTTGGTGAGTTGTGTTAGCTCATGGAGGTGCCTAACAAGCTCCAGAGCCTGCACAAGGCAGCGCATGGCTTAGATTGACCGATAAGGAGCAAGGGAGATGGGAATGCAGCTCCCTCTTTTCTGGCAGAGGTGAGCTGATGCAACCACGTTCTTGGCCTGGCAGAGGGGCTTGGTTTGGTTTTCTTTTGTTTGCTGAAGAGGGTATTCCCAGATCTTCTCATCAGAGGGCAAGTGCAGAACAGTTTGAGGCTATTAAGACTCTGAGAGCAACAAAGCACTTGAACAAATGAGTCCCTGAATAAAAGTTCCTCAAAATTTGTTTCCAGGCCAGTCATTGAGAAGCAGTTTGAAGCTCTGGAATGAGCCCAGTTTCTTGGCTTCTGTCCAGCTCCCTATCTCTGCCAGACACTGGAAAGTACAGAGATATCTCCTGTCTGGGCTGACAAGAAGGAAACAGAACTAAGTGTCATCTGCATATTAATGATATGGCCACCGAACCATCTTCGGAAGAAGTCAAAGATAAACTTGAACCTTTGGGATCTGAAATCTGGGAGCAATCCAAAACCAGGAGCAGTCACACAGGCTATCTCTGGAATTTTGCCAAAGAAAACAACAGGACCATATTAAAGCCTTTCCCCCCATTCTTTTAGGTCCTGAAGACTTGATGGTATCAGTATATGATTAAGAATATCAGTGGCTTCTTGCTCACTTTGAGCTGTTTTATCTCAGGATGATTTTTACATGGGCGTATGGGTGTCAGCACTGTGCCGTATCATCTTACTCAACACTGAACAAATGGATTTGATCTTCGTTTTATATTCCTCTCATCACACGACTAAGAAAATATTTTTCCAGACAACTTCAGGGTCAAGTTCAGGAATAATCCTCAGTATCTTTGTTAGTGCTGCAAGCGAATGACTAAACCACTGGCCAGGCCTGGACTGGCATAATCCTGAGAAATTAATTGAACAGGGTGTGGAAAACTACTGGATGTGAAACCATGACAACATGAGAAATTTCCAGATGTCACTGATAATAATGTGAGAGGCAGACAGAAGTTACAGCTAGCACTATGAGGGAAGGCTGGATCCCATGGGTGGTTAAGGGGGATGTGACCAAAGTTCAAAGGTGACTGGAGGAAATTATTTGGGACCTTTCAGGGATTACAGTCTTGCAAGGACATCAGCACCTAGGTGACTGCATCAGCAGTACCATACAAGGCCAAGAGTGACTAGGTAACAGAACTACAAAATCTGTAGCAAACCTGTAAAGGTAATTAGGGACAGCTTGTTTGAGAAGAGACTTGGTCAAAGGAAGCAAAGTGATGAAAAAGAGGATCAAGATACAGTAAAAGAAATAACAAGGTGTGGAAATTATGTCTTTCTGGGGGTACCTGCTGAGCAGCCCTGTGTCTGATCACCACAGTCTAAACCAGGACAATAAACCAAACCTTTTAGAGTTTATTTGTATAGGATTCATTTCACCCAACTTGAAAAATAAAATGCTTAGGTGTTTAGCATGACCTGGTCACTGCAACATGCACAATGGAAATAGATTCCTCCAGCAGGTAACTCATCCTATCCTAAAATGTAGGACTTAGGCTTGCCTGAAAACAAATGTCTAGTGCCACCTGAGATGGCCTAGGACATCTGAACAGGGACCACCCACAGGAGAGGCAGCAGACTCTCCAACAGATGGAGAAGTACTTGGCACTTGGTGAGGCTGCACCTCGAATACTGTGTTCAGTTTTGGGCCCCTCACTACAAGAAGGACGTTGAGGTGTTGGAGCGTGTCCAGAGAAGGGCAACGAAGCTGGTGAGGGGTCTAGAGCACAAGTCTTAGGCGGAGCAGCTGAGGGAACCAGGGTTGTTTAGCCTGGAGAAAAGGAGGCTGAGGGGAGACCTCATCGCTCTCTACAACTACCTGAAAGGAGGTTGTAGCGAGGTGGGTGTCGGTCTCTTCTCCCAAGTAACTGGCGATAGGACGAGAGGAAATGGCCTCAAGTTGCGCCAGGGGAGGTTTAGATTGGACATGAGGAAAAATATCTTTACTGAAAGAGTGGTTAAACATTGGAAGAGGCTGCCCCGGGGAGTGGGTGAGTCACCATCCCTGGAAGTATTTAAAAGACATGTAGATGCGGCACTTAGGGACATGGTTTAGTGGGCATGGTGGTGTTGGGTTGACAGTTGGACTCGATGACCTTAGAGGTCTTTTCCAACCTTAATGATTCTATGATTCTAAGTATGGCACTGTATGCCTATGTTCAAGCAACTGAACCACACTCCTACATGTCTAAATGGACTAGCTGGATTCTCTCATTTGTACCAGATGCAAACCACTCCATTTTGGTTGCTTCTATAAATGAAGTGCCTGGACAGACCAGCCAAGGCAAGCAGTGTCACCTGGCTAGACTCAAAACTCACAATGATGATAGAACTTCTGTTATATCTCATTGCTGGAGCTAAAAAATACGCTAATAATAAATGAGGTAATACAATAATGAATGTGATTATATAACCTAGGTGCCTTCAATTGGACGAGATAGGACCCAGGAGGCCCCCCTCTACCCTAATATTTCTTTCTGATGTCATTTTATGTTCTGCTAGCAGTACTTACCTTTTGAATCTTTACCTGACATCGATTAACTGAAAAAAATGTAGTTTGCTCAGGCTATCATTACATTAAATGGGAAAAATGTCATCAATATTAACTCATTTGAGCTAGTAATTGTGACAATATTATTCATCGTAAGATGTTTTTTTCCCCTACAGGTCACTGTGGAGTGCCAGAGCCATTCTGTATCCAACTGTAACTACTGGATACTACTAGAAAATAATGAGTTGTTAAGAGAAACCCTGTCAAATGTGTAAAAGAGACAGGAATCTTAATTGCATTGCATTTGCAGGTAAAACTAATTAATGTACAAACTAAATGCCGCTATAAGCACACACAGTTCTAGCTAACACTAGCAGTTCTCAGAAAACCATGCATGATTTGGTTTTGAAATACTGAAGTTTTTGAACTGACCTTTTGTTCCCATATATTTTAGTTATTTTATTCTGTAAAAGGAATTTACCTTCTCTATCAAAGCAAATTCTGAACCTGAACTCTTCGTATAACACACACTGTTGTGTGCTGCTGCGTTAGGCAGCACTGTGGGGACCCCAACCACAAGAATATTCACAACAGTAACATTAGCGTGATGTTTAAACTGCAGGTTGCACAGTACAATGTGCAATTGCAAATACAGTGGAGTATTAATATGTAAATTAGGATGCCATATCCTGCCTTTCGTTTCAGTGTAAAATTATGGGCTTCAAAAATGGAGTCAGTGAAATGACCATGGCAGGGTATGGCCGTCAAATAATCTGAATTAATGAATGGGTTAATTGCTTCATGCTGGGTCTGGTCCTGTAAGGGAGGGGTGGCGATAAGAGCCTCTAAAAGCTTGAAATTTAGGATGACTATTTGTGCCTGACTTCAATGCAATCTTTTATTTAGTGTACCTCTGCCATCACAGAATTCAGTCTGGGATTTGGTAGATAGTCTGTGGTTTAAGTTAGAACAACTTTTGAAAATAAACAAATCAATGAGACTAAGCATTGATTTCCCCTAGAATGCCACACAATCTGACCTTTTCAAAATCTGCATGTGGGTTACTCTGGCAGTAAAAACAACCATGACTAAGAAGCACGTTATGCATTTCCCACATACTGTTTTACATATTATACAAAAAATACTATTATTAAAATGGCAAAGATAACAGGTAACAGGGAACATTGATTTTCAGTAACTTTGTGCACTTAAGCACATTAAAAATTTAAATGTATTCATGTCACACACTGGGGAAAGCAGAAGAGATACAGAAATATACAATACAGTTTTCACGTTTTTGATTATAATCTG